TTATGAGAGCTGTGCCTTCTGACATAATGCCTCTCCAGTGAAGCATTATTTATTAGCAAGTTTGATTTTTCACAGTCTGGATATTTGAGCACTTCTATTAGGAATTTCCTTTCTTACAAAAAGTGGCTCTTTTCCAATAAAACCATACCCTATAGCTTTGTAGGTAAAAATACAAAGAAATAAAAATATATTCTGAATTCTTATGATAAATATGTATACTAGCTTCAGCAGGCTTACATATACACACAGAACTAGGAAAAAGAAGTTGTAGCATTAGCTTTTGGATATTAAGTTTTCGGAGACTTTGCATGAGTGTGTTATTTTGTTAACAACAACTTATCCTTCTCCTTTTCCTACCTATTGGAGTTTGGTTCAAAGCTTTACAGAGTTTTCAGTAGAGTTTCTATACCAGGACAGGCCTTTGGGCATTATCAGCTAGTTTTGTAAACAGATTTGATTTGTATACTATAATTATTACAAGATGGTATATAATGGAGAAGTATACTACCTAATTTTTCCAACATGCATTAATCCAGAGACGTAACCTGGGATGAACACATAATTGCAGCTAATAGCTTAGTGGACCTTGCCCCAGACCAGATGATAAGTCTTTGCCACAGAAAACTATTGTGGCCAAATCTGTGGGCCAAACATCAAGCTGTCAGAAAAGTGTTTCAAAACTACTTTAAAATATTGCTCTAGAGAGTAGCCTATATTACATATAAAGGGGCAGATCTTCATTCAGCACAAGTAGTTCCATTAAAAAAAAAACACAAAAAAAAAAAAAACAACAACCCACACCGAATCAAAAAACCCATACAACAATAAACTACTCACATGGGTAAAGCAAAGTGGATGTGATGCCCATTTGTATTTTTACTGCTGCATAACTTAGAAGAAGTTTCTTGTTTCTGGCTTCTCACTTATGGTCAAGTTTATCACCCCAGGCCTAATCCTAAAAAGATGCTGAACTTCCTGAAAGGTCCTGAAAGAACACAGCTTTCATCTGGCTTGGCTGAATCAGGCCCTTTGAGTGACTGAACTAAGAATATGACAAATCAGGTATACAGTCCCAGTATCATAAAATATAAAATTGAAACTATTCCCTAGTGCTTTCCTGTAGACCACATGTTTTTAAACCTTAAAAAGATTTATTTCCCACTTTTCATGCATAATCTGACATATTATTTGAAATATCCCATAAAGAGATTAAATAGGAATTAAAGTCTGGGAGCATCATATCCATCACTGGGGTACAAACTCATGAAGAATTCTAGATGTCATTTAGCCTTGCATGTAAAGGCAGTGGCTGTTTTCACTTTGTTTCACAAAGAATAAGGAAAACACAATACCCCAGAAGACTTTCAGATGTGTTTTTCCCTGCTCCAAAGAAAAGGGTGGATGATAAAGCTACACACACCTTTTAATCTTCCACTTAGGGTTTTTACACATGTATTCCCTGGCAAAAACCCCAGGGTCTTCTCTCTCCCCTCCCTTTCTCTTAGCCCCTTTCCTGCCATCTCCCTTGCTATAACTCAGCTAACCCAACAGAACCAGTCAGTTTTAAATTTCAGTTGGGACCCCGGTGACCTGTTAATGAATCTACAGAGAGGAGAAAAACTCACAGTGTTGAGTTATGCCTGGTGTTGCTAGCTGACTTGGAGTCAGAAATGCTTGAAGCGTTAACGTAATTGCAAGAATGTGAAAAATGAAGCGTTGGGCTCCTGAGCAAAGTGAAAGGTCAAAGCAAGCCCTACACAAAACAAGTCTCTGGAAGATGGCCTCATTAGACCATTAAATCAGCTTCTTCTTTTTCCCCTTTGCAAGATGTTTAGAGTGTTTTATTTTTATTATTGGATATATTCAACTCTTCCCATGGCAGGGGGAAAGTTGATCAGGCACACTACACACTTACTAATCTTTAAAATGGTATTGCACAGCGTTGATCTACATTTGTGGAGCTAAACTGGAATAAGTCAATAAATGCCTGGTAGATTACAGGTCTCTAGTACTTTGGTTTGCTAGATGATCAATAAGTTGTATAGCTTAGTTCTCTGTTGAACAAGTGAGGTGACGTGTTAAGAACAACATAGACACTCATCACTAATAAAATTAGGATAATCTTTCAACATTTACTGCCTGAAGGCTCCTTTTTTAACTCTTTAAATGCCAGCATGTTTATAATAATATCAGACACCAACTAGATTAACCCTTTTGATGCCAAAGGGCAGTCACTCACTGTTGTGGAGAAACTGTCCTCCATAAACAGACAAAATGCCTATACCTTTAAGAATTATGGGTGGATTCTCCTGTGTAATAAATAGATAGACCTCACACAGAGAAAGCCCACAAAAATTATGTCATCACTCACCCAACTGCTTTCTACCACCACACCTCCCCACCCAAAAAAATATAATCACAAGCCATACATCATAGACTTAAGGAAAGCAGAGACCCCTGGAAAGAGTGTTCTCAAGAGCCAGAAGAGACTGACTGTAGCTTGAATCAATCTCTGCTGCCACCAGGCATCAGTGAAGGAGACCATAAGTTGCTAATGTAACTCAATATTCTCTAACGAGCTCCCATTCCCAAGAAATCCTTTGGGGCAAGTGTTATATGGGAAGCAGCATTTGTGGAAGGTCTTGAATGAAACCTTCATTTGTGAAACCAAGTTAACCCCAAAAAGTAACTGCACCTGAATAGCTCCAGAGGGCATCCACCCATCTTGGTATTGCCTGGGACTGACTCGCTGCTAGTTCACAAGTTATGAAGTAAATCCTGCTCCCTCTCAAGGAAACGAGGAAAACTCAATACAGGACTCCCTCTGTTTAGTCTCTCCCAAGGCTGAGGGGGGAGAGCAATCCAAAGCTGTCTCCAGTGGGAATTTTGCCGCTGCTGTAGGATCATACATCTTTCAGCTGACAGCGGCTGAGTGGAATGCTGATTTGCCCCTGGACGACTGCTTTCCTTTAAAAGGCCCAGCTGAGCACAAAAGGAAGCATACTAGCGATGTTTTAACCTGCTAGACTGTGCAGCACTAGTGACTGATTTCTGGCTCTTCAGCAGTTGTTCTCCTTCTGCAGAAATGAGTGTAACAGGTTTAAATTGTACATATTACCAGAAACCTCAGTCTCTAATGGGAGGTTGGCGCAGGTGTCATCAGCTATTTTTTCTTATGCTTAGCAATACTTGTCGAGCACCCCGAGTTACGTTACAGGAAATCAGAGACTAGTGAAGTGCAAGATCTCTGGATGTCAATACAAGGTATTTATTTAGAGCAAGCATGGCTCAATGAAGAAACTCTTCTCATTTCTGAAGTGTTGCTGGTGCAGAGTGGAGATACAGGTGTGAGAAATTTCTTCCCTAAGCATGGAATGAAAACACTGTGGAAGACAACTAAAAGGAATCGTTTTTGAGTATGCAAATGATCATCTGCTACACGAAGCATCTTAGCCACAATATATAATGGATGGCCAGCTAACAGACATAACACCTATTCATTGCTTAGCCGTCAAGCTCTCCCTTTATTAGCTGATGAAGCCGTAATGGTTCACACTGGGCTTGGTACAGCTCTAATCCAATCACACAGAAAAAAATTCCATGTGATTCATATTGGAGCTGGATCACACCTTGTGCCATGGTTGCATTTTATCAGCAATAAGTTTAACAAATGTATAAACAATTCATACAAATAGGAGACAAACCCAAACCACTCTACCAGAAACAAACTTTGCAAGTTCCTAGAATCACAACGGGTATGACACCAGATCGTGAGACAGACAAGGGGATGGAGCTCTGTGCCAAACAGTGGGCCACGTGAGAGACATGAAATCACATATCTGCTCTGCTGCCTAAGCGTGGCAAATACTGTGGTGGGAAGCAGCCTGCAGTGCAAGGCTAGTCAGCACAGCTCTCACCCCGCAGGCTGCTTCTCTCTCCAGTTTTGGAATCCCACACAGCCAGTAGGATAGCAAACCTCTCAGCTGGATCTGTTTGGCACGCATAATCCCCAAGTGGGGGAAACAGAGTGGCAAAATGTTGCAGATGGACAAGGCGGAGGAAGCATATCATAAGACCTTGTAAAGGTAACGTCTTGCTAGCTAAGACTTACATGTTTACAAAAAAAAAAAACAAAACCAAGAACAGAGCTCACCTTAAACTTTGGTTTTAAAAAAATCAATTCCAATTTGATCCAAGAGCGACAGTAGACCATCTTTCCCAACTTTTAGCACTTGAGGCTTGATTCTTATACTTTCTGGAGTCACTTCTAACAAGCAAGTGTAACACACTATCATATCAGAATGACAGACTTTGACACTCACTCAGAATGGATGCAAATGACCACACACAAGGTGCAATTCAGTAGGAAATAAAACAAAAAACTCTGAAATAATAATCAAACCTCCCAAACCCATAAGAAGGCTTCACTGTATAGATGCAGCAGAGGTTTTACAGTTCAGGTACCTCTCTCTTTACCATTCTGAATCCAGATTTTCAGAAGCAGAAGCAAATTTGTACAAGCAAACATTGCAATAAACATTTTTCTGTTCAGTTCAAGCTTTGCTTCTACTTTAGATAATTTAGCAGCTTCAAAATCTTACATAGGAGTCACTTCCCCAGTGAACACCACAGGCTGAATTCTCCATCTATAACCCAGCTCAAACAACTGCATCACAGCTGGAAAGCATGTCTGTCATTATATTTACTTACACCACACAAAAATAAACTGTAGATAACCAAATTTGTAAAGGAATTGGCAGAACTAATCAATTGTTATTACAAAGCTTGTTTGAAGATTAGATATTTCACTCTGAAATAATAGTAAAATGCAGCTAAGTAGGTTAGGAAAAGGAAATACCGTCTCCCTAAGTTACAGCTGATTATACTGCAAGTCTGCCACTCCATGTTTACTCTAAGGCAGATGTACTGATATAATAAAAAAAGCTGGAGTTATTTTAGTCATGCCTACTTTGCGGAGGGAAAAAAGTTTGACCTTTTACCTTGCTCGCTGCTGTTGTCTCCACTCTGGGAAGCGTGGCCCCCGCTGGAGGGCCCCGGTGTGCCTGCCGAGTGCGTTGAGGTTGCATCATCGTGGTCTCTCCAAGATGAAGGATTCTGGCGTCAGAGTGCCAAGGAATTTTTTCGACAGTTCCCATTCCAATGAAGCAAATGAAGAACAGAAAGAAAACCAGGAGAAAAGGGGAGGAGGGGGGAAAAGCATACACATTAGCATTTGTGAAATGTGTCAAACACCAATACTGTTTGCACAGTGTAATAATTTTTCAGCAAAGATAAGCAGAGAAGGTACAAAGGTTTAGTTGGTGAAATAAATGACAGATATTTTTCTTTTTTAAATTTTCCAAATACTGGTCTGGATTTAATTTTTAAATAGTTCTGCAGAAGAATATTTCAATAGAGTAAGAAAAAAAAAGTTTCTTAATGACCTATACAGAAGGGTAGGGGATGAGCATCAACCTGCACATTTATGACACTAGGTGTTCACATTAAAATCAAGATACTTGGTATGCAAACTATCTCTCCTCACTTTGTTTTTGCATACTGACTAGAGATGGGAGGGGAGAGGAAGAGGAGAAAAACTGTTTCAAGAAGCAGAGGAGAATGTGTATGGGAGAGGGGCATGTCCTCACACCCTACCCTCTCTCTCACCCATTTGAATGCTGGAAAATTTCAAACAAATGCAAAGTTGTGAGGAAAAAAGCAAGCTTTCTCTGAAAGATGTTACATACCAGGGAAGATACTTCCTCACCCCCCCACTAGCACCTTGATATGACACATTTCAAAAGACTTTCTAGGTGTATCACTCTAACAGTTCACTTACAAGTGTGTCAAGAATAACCACCAGGTGATTATATAAAATAACATGTATAGTGATTTTTATGTATTCTCTCTACATTACTATGCATAAAACATGACAAAAGGGAATGCAAAAGACAGACATATGAAGTTTGCAAAACTTGGCTAAGTAAGGCCTCAACTACTGTTCTTTAGTCACATAATTCATGCATGCTTTCTAATTTATTAGGTATTGGCTTTCCCGGGGCGAGGAGCTGCTATTTAAATGACTAAGTGAGGAAAACTGAATGTTACAGTTTAGTGCTACTTTGTTGAGTGTATTCTCCTCCTGTCCTCCTCCCCTTTCCTGATCATTCCCAATACCCTGCTGTTGCTTAAAGGAAAACAGGAATTTTACTGTACAGGAAGAGCTTTATCAGCACCACATGAAGGCAGGCAAGAGATGGAATTTCCTCTGGCAGAAAAAGAGAGCAAGAACACATGAAACAGATCAGACTAGGGGCTGGACCTGCATTACTTGTCACCTGTATGTGGCAAGTTAAATCAAGTGCATTATAATAATTCAACAAAAAGCAAACAAAAAATCCTCCCCCCAAAAAAAAAACAAAAACAAAATAATCCAAAACAACTGAAAAACCCAAAACCAAAACAAAATTGCTTCTGAGGTTTGAGTATGTCTTAAATCTTCATTGTGAAATAACACCAGACTATTAAAGCACGTGGAAATCCTGGAAGCAGCAAGCTACAGGCTTGAGTAAGTTCTTTGAGCACGACTGATTCTGACCTCATCTACCCTGACGTGTAGTAGGAATAAGTTCAACAAAATCAACCGATTTGCCCATTGTAAAATTCAGTGTAAGTGTGATTGGAATCAGGTCCCAAAATATATATTGAAACATCTCAAAGTAATCTCCTACCACTGATTAGTACCACATGCTCTATAGCAATGCAAAATAGAACTGCCAAATAACGGCTTGCTACAATACCCAGTAACATAAATCTAACGGTCCTGACCCAGAGCGCAGCAGAGACAAAGGGAAGAGCTCACAACTTCAAAAGGCTCCCAGCAAAGCCCTAGGTGACAAAAAAGTAAGAAGGATCCAAATCCCCTTCACCTTACACAGACACACACGTGCACCCAAGTACATGATTCCATGGGAAGGAGATATGAGTAAAATCAGAAGACAGTCCAGGATTTAAAATTAGCCTAACCTGTCAGCGCAACATACAGCACAACAGCACTTATGGCACAAAACCCCCACCCCCTTCCAAAACCTAGAGGTACTGATTTACTTTTCCTCACACGGAACCACAAAAGGAAAAAAAAACAAAACACAAACCAAAAATTAGCATTTTATATTCACTGAGGTTGTGGTATTAATTAGATCTCAGAAATCACTATTAATATTGCAATCCCCCACTGTTTCATTTAAAAAAAAAAAAACACCCAAAACAAGAACGTTTTATAAAGTCAGGTGGAAACAAACACAAAAAGAAAGATAAGAACTCTTGAAAGTTCAAGCAACCCAGATGTTGCTAAAAAGAAAAAGTTGAAAATAAGGTTACCAAAGAGTTCAGATGGAAATAAAATGTAAAAACTGAGCAAGTTTCTTTACAGCCTGGATTAAAACACAGCTATGCCTATGAGCTTTCTCTTTTTATCTGTGAGTTAGGAAGCCACTCAAATAGCTTCAAGCTGAAGGCAAACAGCAGACAGGAGCTCTTCAGCCCTCTGCAGCCTCTTAGCGTCAGCTGTTTGCCGGATGGTAATCAGATAAAAAGCAAGAAGAAATACATGAAAAAAAGAAAGAAACAATAGCATAGCATGAGTTTAGCCCTCCAACATCAGGCTGGAACCTTCTTTTAGAAAATGTAATAATTGTAACGTGTTCATCTAGGGTAAACTTTTCAGGGAGCACAGTGAGTTATGTTAATTTTATGCACTGCAGGCTCTCTTAAGCTGGCTGCTGTTGGACCTCCTTATCACACATATGAAAATTACAATAATTAACTGGTAACACCTCAGATATGTTTTAAGGCAAATGTCATCCAAAACCTATCATACTGTATTTCAAAAGCTAGACTGCCCTCAATGTTTCAAAACCCTAACAAGTTGAAAAGGCTCACTGAATAAGACTCCTGCAGCTGAAAACACTTGATGCCTCTACCAGGCTGAGGTTGTTCTTGACCCCAGTTTGTAGATCTTATTTTAGAAAGACAGACTGTATTGATTGGGAATTTCTTGTGACACAGCTTTCTTGAGGAAGCAATCTGGCAGAATTTTGCTGAAGGACAGAAATAATAAGATGGGATACTTATAAGATGTGACAGTAGAATGTTGAAGAAATTTGAAAGGGAGGGAAATAGCTAGACTTTAATATAAAAAATGACAAATAACTCTAGGGGTGGAGTTTACAGCCTCATAAAAAGGCAGCATTCTTTTGCTTTGGACTACGATCATTGTATGTGTCAGTGAACTTCTCTTTTCCTCCCCCAAACTGCTTCCAACTTTGCATCTCTCAAGAAAACTTCTTGGTCAAATGCCTAATCATAAGTAGTTATTTTATGTATGCCTTCACACAAAAAAATGGAACAAAATGACACATCTAAAGTGTACTTCACTGGAAATACTATATCAGTATAGGTTAGGTACCTAAAGAGATCTGCTGACATTTACTGCATTTTTTCTATTAATTTCAATGGAATTTGTATTAAGCTATCACACTGTATAAAACCAAACCCACCCCACCCAACAAAAAACACCCACAAACCAAACAAAAAACCACAAAACAAACAGAAACCCAAAATGTTAGCAGGGCTTCTCATATCTTCTTGCAAGTTTAGTAATATACTTTGCAGAAACACATTGACAAGTGTGGATGATGTCTGCCAAAATGCAATTGCCTGGTTTGTGTACGTGCGCATACTATAAAATTTTCACACACATATGACCTAAACTAATGCCAAATACCACAGAAGGTAAACAGCACACATGTATCTATTCCCGGTAGTTTTAATAATTGGGATTCAAATATGGTGCTGCTCTTGCTCTTACCTAATTGTGTTAAAGAGCAGTGTTACCAGGAGAAAAGCAGTGAATACTGAGTAGAGCACAATAGAAGGAGATGGAAAATAGATACAAGAAGCTAGGTCTCCAGGGGCAGTATTTTCTATTTGCTGGGCTACAGACTCACAGCTGATAATGCAAGTTGTAATTAATATAAAAGCAGGAGACAATATGGGGAAAGCTTGTACTAGCAGAGCCACAGGAGATCACTCTGCTGCTATCCACTGTTTCTCATTTACACACACAACCTTCTCTAGAAAACACAATTTTGCCAGTGCTTTTTCCCTTGAAAGTTTAAAAAAAAAAAAAAAAAAAATTGATTTAGCACCACCATAGAATTTTGCTAAATCTAGAAAGGGGCAACAGAAAGGACAAGAGTCTCCTGGTATATAAACCAAAGCTGACGCGTTACGTTTTTGTTGATGTGGTGAACCTGGTGGAAACTATGAGAGATTTTAACTGACACGGGATTTCTGGAACGGAGATGTTGTAACAGAAAAATTTGATATAGTATAACCTTCTGTTAAATTGCAATTTTTACTTTCTATGCCCAGAATTTCCACTGAGCAAAGTCTGCCTAGTTTTTTGTGAGTGTATATACTCCAGCTAGAGCTGACTCTGGTCTCACACCACTCTTTATAGTGATATTAAAGACTCAATTAACCAGAAGGAATTTGCTTCTTATTTATAACTGGAGAGTAAAATCAATCAGGCCAGCTGATACCCATGTAAGTAAGTGAAGCTGGATTTGGATCACAAGCATTAACTGAAGTTTGAAGTATACAGCTGTGACAGGATCAGGCCCTCACATTTGATCAGATGAAATGGACAAAACCATTGATCTTGCAGGAACAAATAAAACACAACTTACTTTCATAAAAGAAACTACAGTGACAATAGAGCTTATTCTTTGGGAAGATGGTTGGACTCAAATGTCTAGAGGTTTCTCTGGTAAATTAATTTTTCAAACACAAAACTGAACCAAGGTACTGACACAGATGGCATTTCTCCCCCAGCCAAATCGTGCTCACTTTGCTCTTACAAGTAACACCTGTAAACACAGTGGAATGACTGACATGACTGATACCACAAAAGTCTGTATCTAGGTATGTCCATATATCAAAAGGTGATATACTATGCTGGATATAGAAACACATACAAGCACATGTGTTTCTATGCGTGCATCTGTGTCTGTTTTGTATGCATATAGCTCAGGATGGTATCTTAGAGACTG